ATAAAATCATTGTCATAATATTTATTGAGCCTCTCTCAAAAATATTATTGTTTTCGGGGTATACCCTACCATTGGATTTGATTTAACGCCATGACTTTCCTTCACTCAATTCAACCAAGCAATTAGTGAATAAATTTATCAAAAGTACATCATATAGGTAACAACACATATATAGTACTAATACATAAATTCAACATTTATATTACCTGAAAAGTGACATTATAGGTAACAACTTACCAGTTGTAGCTTGTGCATCATTCATATAAAATACTTGAAAATGGTAAGTCAGTAGCAAGCATCAAGTAGGTCATGGATAAAAAAATACCTCTTCTAGTAGTCATACTAATCATTGTTTGCTTTCAAATGATACGACCATAAATTATGAATACTTTCTCAATAGCTGGTTTGTTTTCCAAATTTCAAAGAAATAATTAATTAACCTAGATAAAGATGTGAAGTATTTCTTGTTTTCTTTAAGATTATTTATGTTTCTAATCACTTCAGTATGACCATTTTTTTTATGCAAGTGCAAAGACCCAAAAGGAAAAAATGTTCATCCAAGTAAAAAAATATTAAAAGCGGCAAGACAGATTGAAGATAGTTAGCACACAAATAAGCATAAGACTACTTATATAACATATCCTTGGTTACCATGACATGCATCATATCAACAATTAACTGCTACTATGATTTTCACATATAGAGCTTCGAAAATTTCATTTCATTCATATGATATAAAAGATGTAATATTGATATGTGTTTATGCAATACATGTGTAGTACGAAGTTGTGTGCATACGAGATATTAGAGGAATGACAAGTATAAGATAATCATACCTTCTTACGTTTCATTACTTACTATATGTAGTTTCTCTTTACATCTAACCAAGAGATGATATGTATGGCTTCTAATTGCAATCTTTGTAGATATATATACAATTGGCTAGAGACTCGTGCTGATAACATGTTATGAAATATAACTCAAAGTAATAATATGGAACAAGGAAATAAAAGCAATTTAGCAAAACATGAACAAGAAATGGAGATAGAGAGAAGGAAGAGATTTTCTTCTTCAATTGTGTGTATTTTCTTATCTATTACAAGGCCTTTATATATGCATAAAAAGTGAAGAAAATATGTCATGAAATATATCATTGAACATACAAAATATGTTATTGAATATGTCATTAAGCATTTAAAATGAAGATCATGGAAGAAGAGTAGACATCCACCGTAACGAGATATTTATCATAACAAAAACAACTTTTAGCTTCAACTCAAATAAAACCTTTTTTCTTCTCTTTCTTCGTTCCAACTCAAATTTTGTCCTAACATTACTCACGTCCTTTGCACATCCCAAACATCCTAATAAGCACGTGCTTTTCGCAAGTGACAAATTGTAAGATAACACTCCAAGAGCCGCACAACAAAATCTAAGGGAGGCTCCGTAAAATTGGTGGCCTAAAGTCAAATTTTAATAAGAGGTCTTATATTTTTTTTAGTTAGTACGTATACACACATATATGCAAAAAAATTAATCTTGCCTTTTTTTTCATATTTGTTGTTTATAGAATATATTCTTAAATGACATAAAGTCTTTAACTTCACATAATAATATTATTATTTATATTAGAAAAGAAAATTTTAAATAAATGAGATATTAGACATGTATTTGCAATATGTTACCCTTGATATTGTTGTAAAAAATATACTTACTAATATGAAGATTTAAGTAGTTTAATTCAAAGTCTTAAAATTATTTTTACTGTTTAAGAGTAGACACCTTTATTTCTTTTTTACATTTTTTTGTATTTTTTTTTATTTTTTCTACAAATATTAATATTGTCTTACTTAAAATAAAATTATAAAATCCATTATTAAAAATTTTGGGGGACCCAAATCAAGGCTTTACTAGTCTCCTACTAGAGCCACTTATCCGCCCCTGTGATTCTCAATAAAATTTATAGAGTCTCACTTAAAATAAGACAACAATGACAAGAGCATTAAAGGCAGTGAGTTTGTCATTCAGTTACCAAATGTGAATGAAGTTGGTTGAACAGTACGTTTATAGCGGGGCAGTAGTCTGTAAATAATTATTGATGATTGTCAATGAGGGGCGGCTCAACAAAACTGGTGGCCTAAACCAAAATATATTAAAAAGACCCTAAAGCGTCTTTTATAAAATCCATATAATATTGAAACACAACAAAACATATATGACTTTGATATAGTGGCGAGAGCACAACTCATGATGTATGAGTTAGGCGTGCGTCATATGGTATTGAATTCTTCCCTTAAGTGAAAATGGTAAAGGGTGAACCCATTATTCATCATGTTTTGAACCTTGCGACATTTGCCTCGGGAATTTCTTAGTTAAAAAAAATGAGACGCAAAAGAATCTACTTTCTGCTGTGTGGATCAATCAAATGTGACAAAAAGAAATAGTTAATTTAGAGAATTGGAGTTGAAATTAGAAAGTAAAATTGTAAGAACCATGCAAAAAGATTATACTTAAAGAAAGAAAAAAAATGATGAGAATGTAAATATATTATTTAATTAAGCGAGAAAAATTTATCCAATTAACTCACTCAATCTTACATCTACCAAATATTAAAAATTATTAAAATTTAAAATCTTCTATTAATAATTATATAAATATAAATTATGGAGTATATATTATATAATAATACTTTTTATTTTTGGGGGCTTAATTATTTGGGGCTAAGGCAACGGCTTCACTTGCGTTACCCTATAGCCGCCCCGGCAAAACCCTAATCTCACATTTTTAAGCAGAAACCTTTCCTTTCCACTTTCCCCTTTTTCCACTTCCTTCGATTCTCAGATCTTTGCATCTACAATGGTGACCACTGGAAAGAAAACAGTATGAAATACCCATTTCTTCCCCTTCATTTATTCCCTTTTTTGTTATATTTTTCTTTTGGTTTTTTGGCTGGCTATTAATGCAAAATTTGTAATTTGCAGAAGAAGACACATGAAAGCATAAACAACAGGTTAGCACTTGTAATGAAGAGCGGCAAGTATTCTCTTGGTTACAAGACTGTTCTCAAGACCCTCAGGAGCTCTAAAGGTTCTTCATTTAAAAAAAATAATATTTCTGCCTTTTTTTTTTGTAATTTATTTGGACTAAATGTGATATTTTTTTTACAGGAAAGTTGATATTGATATCCAACAACTGTCCTCCGTTGAGGAAATCTGAGATTGAGTACTATGCTATGCTCTCTAAAGTTGGTGTTCACCATTTCAATGGAAGTAAGCATTCTTCAAAGATCTTGAGTTTCATCATTGTTAGTTCATGTGTTAATTCGTATGGCTATCTAGTAATTAAGTTTGATCCCTTTGTGGGGTTTGGTGATGCATCTAATTTTTTAAGCGAATTAGTTTCCTAGTTTCGTTTGTGAAGTAAAATTTTACATATTTAAGACTAGGTTATAAGTACTATAAATCACAATGTGTTGTACTCCATCTGTCCCAATTATGTGGCACACATTTCATTTTAGTGTATCCCAAAACCAATAACACTTTCTGTACTTAGAAATAATTTAACTTTGGAATTTTTGTTTTACCCTTAGTGAGGATATCTATTGCCACACAAGTGTCTATGACTTGAATTTAAACCACAAGTTTGAAAAGTTTTTCTTTTTTCTTACACCCCTTGTCCAATCAAACAAGGCCACATAAAATGTGCGGAGGAAGTAATCAATAGAAACATTTGAAAAAATGTGTGAAAAATTGTTGGATTCTTTGAATAGTGATAGTGCCACATAAATTGGAATGAATGGAGTACATGTTAAGCAAATGAAAAACTCGGTTTCATTATACTTGATATCCAATTTATTTTCCCCAACCAGACATTTTGTGCATATTTGTTGGAGAATGTATAGCAGTTATGTGTGATTGATTCTTCACATTTTCCGTTTAACTGATGATAAGGTCAATGGTAGTTGTGTACTTGTGTTGTCTTCAGTTCATAGGATTTCACCTCTATCAGTACATTTAGTGATATAGATTTGCTACTTTTACCCATTGACAACATTTGGGAATAGCTCATGCCTTTTGACTCCAAAGTGTTCTGTTTTCGATAAAACTACTTTGTTTTCTTTATTGTCCTTACAACTTTTTTGTGTAGACAATGTTGATCTTGGGACAGCATGTGGCAAGTATTTCCGTGTCTCATGCCTAAGCATAATTGACCCAGGTAAAGTACATCTGAGAGTTCCTACTGTTGTACATTGAAATTTCCTAGAAGTTCATAAGGACCCTTTTGTCTTATGTCTGCGGCTAATGATTTTTCAGGTGATTCGGACATCATCAAGTCTCTGCACGGAGATCATTGAGAGTTGCTCTATCATTCATATTCTTGTATCTTGGAGAAAATTTCTTGTAGCAAGAGTATAGAAGGTTTTGTTGTTTCTTAATTTTATTTAGTTTGTCATTTGACCTAAAGGTTGAGCCAGATAATAGTGATCCAGAATTCAGCTATTTATGTTTTGTTAGTAATTGATTTGCTCGTTCTATCAATGCATATCTTTGTGAGAGTACTACTTTTGTGTTGCTTCTGGGTAGTTTCACTTGATGCTTAATTATTGGATTGAGAGAAGATCTCTAATTGGAGGGACGTGGATAGTGAGACTTGATGTAGCCAAACTCAGCTAGCTTGTCCTTGAGGCTTTTTTGTTGGTATTGTTGTTGATAATTTTACTCGATTCTATTCTACTACATTAAGACCTACTCACCTTTTCCCCTGAGATGCCACGGGGCGGTTTGTCATGCTTCCCTTTTCGTGTTGAAGTTGAGCCAATCGTGGAAATGTGAGGGAGACTTGAGCGACTTTGCACAGGAGGGGCAAAGTTTGCAAACAACATTATGTCTCTTTAGTACTTTGATGAACGACACATTTAGCAGGTTGCACAATGTAATATGTGCTGGTTAACTAGTCTCTCCTTGGAGAATATCAAGAATTAGACTTAGTATTTGTGTTGGGGGGTAATCTTTCTCTCCGGTTTCTTGAATCGAAGCATTTGAACCCATCATTATCTTTATCAAGTGATTTCTCCTACTGATTCTATCTATTTTTGCACATTGCTGTAACTATGGTCAAGAATATATCCATGCCTCACATTACTGAAAAATTTATGCCGGAGTTGCTGTTAGAAACCAAAGGTTTTGCACCGGTTTACTTTCCACAGACCGTTCTTTTCCTCATTTCAAAACCTCCCAAAGCTTCCTGCAGGAAAGAGTTCATCTGTTTGATATTCAGGTTTTGTTTGCTGCAGAGTTGATAAAATTTGCATAGCTGTTTTCTTTTTGGTTGTACAGTCTTGTCTCAATTTCTCAATGGTCTGTGCTGTATTTCCACCTTCTTCATCTACCGGACCTAAGTCCAAACAACCTCATAAATGGCAAGGGAATCCGAATTACATTTTTTGAAAAAATCTTAAATTTGCAATTTTGTCAAACACTTGCCTGTTCTTTATATAGATTTCAGTATTTTCCCCCGCCTTCCCCTAGCATGTAATATAATTTTTTGTGGCAAAATCGACAAAATATGACACTTAGACTCGGAATTATGCTAAAACTAACTACGCTGTCATCAGTCACTCAAATCTCATATTGGAAGTTAAAGTAGCTCGGAGATATTCTCCAAGTGTCTTTTCATTCCAGTTTAGTTTGACCGTCTTTTTGGAGCTTTTCATTTTGGAAAATAAAGGAGCAATTCGGTCACTAAGTTCCCGTTATGTGCGGTGTCCGGGGAATGGTCGAACCACAAGGGTCTATTGTACGCAGCCTTACCCTACATTTCTGCAAGAGGCTATTTTCACGGCTTGAACCCGTGACCTGACCTCCTGGTCACATGACAACTACTTTACCAACACCAAGGCTCCCCTTCTCATTTTGGAAAATAGCAGTCAAATAATTGTTCTATTAAATTGTTTTAAGAAAAGGTTCAAGTGTAACCTGCAATAGGCGAAATGGATTCATGTTTTTTGTTAATTTGGTTTAAAACTATCCTTGTCATTAGAAATTTGACTTATGGTTGCCCTTATTGACTATCAAAAGAATGTTTAGGGGCTAATACGTTTTCAATTGGATTAAACATACCCCACTCTAAATTACTCCATCCCATCCATTTAAGTGATTTTTTGATTTTTTCACACATATTAAGGAATTTATTTTTTAGTATTAATTAACAATAAAATTAATCATATTAACCTTAATTTGATCATTAGAAATATAACAAACTACTCCGGAAAAAGATCCAGTCAAGTAGAATTTCGTCAAGTAATCTTCAATGGGCCTTTAGATTCATGCCATGTGTACATAAACTAACTCATGGCTGAGATGCATTTAAGATCTTTTGCTTACGGCAAGAATTAAAAATGGCAAACATGAATTAACGGCAGTCACTAACAATAACATCTAACCACGTCTCCTTGCTTTTAAACTACAAAAAAGCACCAGTTAAATTGTTCTTTATTTTTCTCTAAATGAGATACTTATATTGATTAAAAAAAATATCATAATGAGTATTAATGTGTTATTGTATATTAATGTGTTACTAGTACAGTACCCGCGCGATGCGCGGAAAATACGAAGAAAAAAATATAATAAATTATTAACTTAGTTGCTTAACCATCTCATATTTTTATAACTTGATTAATCGTAAAATTTAAACCATTTGATCGATTCCTCATTAATTTTTAAATCCTCATTAATATAGATTCCTCATTAATTTTTGATTGGAAAAGAGGCAAAACAATTGTAAAGTATTACTATACATCAGAATTACATATAATCAAGCAAAGAGCGTAAAGTAATGTGTGTATTCATGTTTTTCCTCTTTTAAGACATTGGATATGTCATTAAAGTTGCATTATTTGAAGGAATAAGTTTGCGTTATTCCATTATGTAATTTATCTTATCTAATGCTCTTAAGAAAAAAAATAATAATTAAATGACAGGTAATGCTGCAAATCAATAAAAAACTTTCATTAATTAAATAAATTACAGGTAGTCGTAGAGACGGTTCTCCCACTCTGCTTCAAATTTAAGGACATAAACCCAAAAAGGTCCACTTGGCCACACCTCGTGATAAATGTCAGTTAAAATACTACCTAAAGGTTGTCCAAGTGAATCTACTAAAATTGATAATGCTTCCCAATCATATAGTATAATTTTGTCTATAGCATCTATTAGTGCATCTCTCATAAGCTGATAATTTGCAATATGTAGATCTAGTGCAGGCCTAAGCTCTCTAAATTTCTTTTCTTTTTCCCTTCGTTCAGCCCTTCGATCTCTTAACTTATTTTGTATAGCCCTTGGGACATTCCTGATAATTTCAGGCTTTGAGTCTGAAGCATTATAGGAATAAATGTTGCGACGACGTATCTTTCGACGTTGTCCCCTTCGTTAAATTTGAGCACTCGTAGTTGGAATAATTTGAACGTGTCCTTGTTCATCCATATCTAAAATAGAACTAAAGAAAGAATAAGAATAGCTAGAACATGTCAATGAGATAACATAGTACATGCATATTATTTTGAAACTTTCTCCTTAGTAGATATAGCTCAGGCAGTAGCGTCTCAAAGCACTCACAAATTTGAGAGACAATGATGTTATTTCTTGAGAGGACTGCTAAAAGGATAGTGAATACTAATAGACATTTAATTGTTGAATTGGATGGAATAATGAATAGAGGATACTACTATTTAAATTAATTCCAATATGAATATTTAGAAACGCATCCTAATTTCAGTTAGTATACAAATAAGTTGACAACACCAATAGACTTGTACATACTAAATTCCAATAGATCACATAAAATTTAGTATATTCTTGTCGGTGATACTATATTATATTGCAAAAAAAAAAAAAGTAATGAAAGCGGAAAAACAGTGTTGATTTTGATTGCTTAATTTATAAACTATTCCATTGGAATTACGTGAGCCTTTGAGAACCAATTGCCCTGAATAGCTAGAAAGCTAAAGAAAGCAGGAAAAACCAAACGAAGTCTGCCTTTGAGAACCAATTTTCCAGATTGATGAAGTATTATTAATTTTGAGAGTAATCAAAATTATTCAAATCAATATCTTATTATTTCTTCAAATTATAAATTTATTCAAATTAAATTTTACTGTAAAAGTTAACCAAAATCAAGCGAAAATAACTTGTGACAAACAATATTGGAAACGAAGAATCCGAAAAGCACT